CTTACTGATTTGTCTGGCATGCCTCCGGATAGAGATATAGATTTCTGCATTGACTTGGAGCACGGTACTCACCCCATTTCTATTCCTCCTTACCATATGACTCCAACAAAATTAAGAAAGCTTAAGGCTTAAATTCAGGAACTTCTTGATAAGGGATTCATTCATCCTAGTTCTTCCTCATGAGGTGCCCCTATTTTGTTTGTTAAGAAAAAGGATGGCAGTATGAGAATGTGCATAGACTATAGCCAATTGAATAGGGTCACCATTCGGAACAAGTATCCACGACCTCGGATAAATGATCTTTTTACCAGTTGCAGGGTGCATCCATTTTGTCTAAGATTGATATAAGGTCTGGCTATCATCAGTTAAAGATTAGGCCTGAAGATATACCAAAAATGGCATTTAGGACCCGCTATGGGCACTATGAGTTTCTAGTTATGTCGTTTGGATTGACAAATGCACCTGCAACTTTTATAAGTTTGATGAATGGTGTGTTCAAACCATTTCTGGATTCGTTTGTTATAGTATATATTGATGACATTTTTGTTTATTCAAAAAGTAAGGAAGAGCATGCCGACCATCTTCGTATTGTTCTGGGTGTTCTTGGGAAACAAAAGTTGTATGCGAAATTTTCTTAGTGTGAATTTTGGTTGACTTCGGTTGCCTTTTTGGGGCATGTAATTTCAAGGGAAAGGGTAATGGTAGATCCCCAAAAGATTGAAGCAGTCAGGAATTGGGTTCGGCCTAGCTCGATAACTAAAATTAGGTGTTTTGTGGGGCTCGCTAGCTACTATCGTAGATTTGTGAAGAATTTTTCTTCTATCGCCACAGATTTGACAAGGTTGACCAAAAAAGAGGTACCTTTTGAATGGACTGAAAAATGTGAGGAGAGCTTTATTGTGATGTTTCACATTCAGGTTTGGGTGCAGTATTGATGCAGGATAGAAATGTTATAGCTTATGCATCGCAGCAGCTGAAAGTACATGACCGAAATTACCCAACACATGATTTGGAGTTGGCAACAGTAGTTTTTTCTCTCAATATCTGGCGGCATTATCTTTATATATCAAGTGTGAGGTATTTACTGGTTACTGTAGCCTACAACATGTATTCAATCAAAAAGATCTAAATATGAGACAACGAAGGTGGATGGAGTTACATAAGGATTATGATGTGACCATCCAGTATCATACGGGTAAGGCTAACGTAGTGGAAGATGCATTAAATCGAAAGGCGATGAGTATGGGTAGTCAAGCTTGCTTGGGTGTATCCAAGTGACCTTTAGCTAAGGAAATTCAACATTTGGAGTCTAAGTTCATGCAGTTGGCATCTCAAAAAAAAGGTGGGGTGTTAGCTAGCATTGAGGTTAGGGCCACCATCATTGAGGAGATCAAGGCCAAACAGTTTAAGGATGATAATTTGAATGAATTTAGAAAGAAGACAGTGTCTGGTAAGGTACAAGATATGGTTCTTGATGCGGGGGTGTGCTTAGTTTTAAAGGAAGAATTTGTGTTTGTCGAGTGGATGACTTGATCCAGAAATTGTTGATAGAATCCCATGGTTCGAGGTATTCCATTCATTTGGGTGTGACGAAGATGTATCGAGATTTGAACCGACTTTATTGGTGGCTTGACATGAAGAAAGATATCAGAGTTTGTGGCTAAGTGCCAAAACTGCCAACAAGTAAAATATGAGCACCAAAGGCCTGCAGATTTGCTTCAGAGAATGCCAATTTCAGAATGGAAGTGGGAAAGCATAGCTATGGATTTTGTGGTTGGTCTCCCCAAGACCTTGGGGAAGTTTGATTCTATTTGGGTAGTGGTTGATAAATTGACTAAGTCCGCCCACTTCATTCCAGTCAGAATAGACTATAATGCACAACAATTTGCTAAGGTGTATGTGAAAGATATAGTAATTAAGTCTACATGGAGTTCCCCTATCTATCATTTCAGACTGTGGTACGTAGTTCACATCCAAGTTTTGGGGAAAATTACTTGAGGAGTTAGGTACTCAACCCAACTTTAGCACAGCCTTCCATCCGCAAACGGACAGACAGTCAGAGAGGACTATTCAAGTGTTAGAGGACATGTTAAGGGCATGTGTGATTGACTTTGGAGGACAATGGGATGAATTCCTACCTTTGTGTGAGTTCTCCTATAATAATAGTTACCACTCCAACATTGATATGGCACCATTTGAGGCACTTTATGGCAGGGGATGTAGATCACCCATAGGATGGTTTGAGGTTGTAGATGTGAAACCTTTGGGGGTTGACTTGGTGAAGGATGCTCAGGATAAAGTAAGAAGCATCCAAGCTAAGCTCCTAGCAGCCCAAAGTAGACAGAAAAAGTATGCAGACCATAAGGTAAGAGACATGGCATTCCATACTGGTGAGAATGTTCTTCTTAAAGTGTCCCTATGAAAGGGGTGATGCGATTCGGCAAGAAGGGCAAGCTTAGTCCTCGATACATTAGACCATTCGAAGTTTTTGACTGTGTAGGGCCGGTGGCTTATAGATTGGATCTATTTCCTAACCTATCAGAAGTTGATCCAGTATTTCATGTATCCATGTTGAAGAAGTATCATGGGGATGGGGATTATATCATAAAATGAGACCAGTTTTGTTAGACAAAGACCTACAGTATGAGGAGGAACCAGTTGCAGTTCTTGATCGTGATGTCCGGAAGGTGAGGACCAAAGAGATTAAGTCCGTGAAAGTTCAATAGAAGTATCGTCCAGTTGAGAAAGCCACTTGGGAGACCGAGAAGGACATGTGAGGCAAGTATCCCCAGTTGTTCGACGATTAAGGTACTACTCTACCCTTACTTTAGCCAATCTTTCCTATTTGATCACTCGGGGACGATTGATGGGTAAATTGGTATCTATTGTAATGACCTAATTTCGTCGTTAGGGAAAAGCCAATGGGGAAATAATTGGGGTCAGAAAACTTTTGGATAGTAACTTGGAAATTCCTAGCCTAGTTCAGATTTGGACGAAATCTGAGTCATGTGAGGTCTAGGGAAATAAAGTAATGAATGAGAGATCTAATTATAATTTTGATCACATTAGTAGATATCTAAGATGCTAAGGAATCGGTACAACTTTACGGAATCTAATTCAGGCGAGTAGAACTCCTGAAACTGATCTTAGCGCGAACGAGTAGTTTTTGAATGTCATGAGTTGAAGGTGTGTGGTGAAATAAGAGTTTGGATCTCCAATTTCGACTCTTTGTCTCCATGCAAGTGGCCAGACGCGACTTAAGTCGAGATTAAAATCCAAAAACGTTATTTTTCTGCAAGTTTTGTTCTTGAGAGCTAAGAGACGACCCATGGCTTTTTCTTGAAGGTTTTCCACCTCTTCTAGCACTAAAGGTAACAATTTTACTCCCTTAATCCGTATTTCGATCTGTAGAACTTAGATTCTTGGGTAATTATTGTTGGGAGAAGGTTTTGATCTGAAGTTAATGGTGGAAAAACCCCTAAATTGGGTATTGGGATCTTGGGTTTGGCCTAAGGTTAATGATTTCGAATGTAATCCAGGTAATTAGACCTCGTTTATTGATCCTTGCATTAATTGTATGTTTTTAGACCACGAACAAGAAGAAATAATCCGAAAAGAAAAGATTCAAGTGCCTTAGGGGGATTAAAGTTTGGTTTCGAGGTAGGTGATGGTTTGATTTCATGTTTGTGTGATGTATGTTAGTATTTGCTTCATTGTAATGCATGTATGTATGCGAATGTGGCACGATTGATCACACCTAATGTAAATGAGTATGAATGAATGATTGTATACCATGAATCAACACTTGATTGTATGATTATGAGAATGTACATTGTAATTGTGATTGTGGCATGTTGAATGAATCGGGTGTCACGTTCCGACACACTAATTGGGATCGGATGTCAAGTTCTGGCACACTAACAGTTTGAGTATGGGTTCCATGAGAGGACCATTGAATTGTCATAATTACTTGTTAATGAGAATATGGATTTGTAAGTTGTTCTTGATTGATAACCGGTATATGTATATATATTTTGTACATGTCATGTTTACTATGTTGTGACTGCTTATGTATATTCGCTTACTGGAATAGTCATGTGATCCTACCAGTACACTGTGATTGTGTACTGATACTACACTTGCTCTTTATTTGTTGAGTACAGGGTATCTTCAGGTGGCTACTAACAGACCTCATCTAGGAGATCACTGATCGAGACCAAATTCAAGGGTGAGTCAGTTCTTTCAGGCTACCATGAGTTCTCATTTGTTTAGTCCACTCTTTCGGACTCAGACTATCTAGTTAGATTTACTCGTATGTTTAGTTTGGGTTGTACCCATTTTCTTAGACTTGTCGTTAGTAGAGTTTTGGTACATTTACTTTCAGGTTCTAGGCGTTGTTTTCTGCAATTGTTTTGGTTATTGTTATGTCAAACTTCCGGAGATTATGGGAACTCCATTTTATTTCTGCATTTAAACCTGCTTCTGTATCTTTAAAAAGATAATTCTACCATTTCTCTAATTGGTCCACCTTTAACATTATATATATATATATATATATGTATTGTTTCTTTTTTGTTTGTCTTTAAATTCAATTCGGCATTATTACCTTGCAACTTCATAATTTCTGTTGAGTTACAAGATAACTTTGTAATAGAATCACATAATATGAAAATATAGACTCATAAAATGAATGTGATAGTAGACTCATAATATGAATGCATTAAACAAATGTGAAAACATACGTGAAAACACACGTGATAGAAAGATCTGTATAATATGAAAGCATTAAGTAAACATGATAATACACGTGATAGCTAGACTCATAACAAGAAAACATTACAACACTCGTGAGAAGTACACTCACATACCTACTATAAATTACACAAGTGTTCCTCTTAAAATTGCTCAGCCCTATTCAACAGAAATATATTACTTTCTTCTTCATATCATTTTCTTTTGCAATGGAAAATGAGACCAAAAAAGGTAAGCAAAAAATTGAAATGAAGATCATTGAGTCTGAGAGAGCACGTACTGTGAGTTTCTCAAAAAGAAAAAAAACTTTGTTTGAGGATGCAAAGAAATTTGCAACTCAAACTGGGGCAGTTGTTGGTGTGATGCTCTTTTCACCAGGTGGAAAACCATGTTCCTATGGTTCCACAAGCATAGAAGAAATAATTGAAAATTTTCTCAAAGTGAAACTAGAGGATCGCCAACGTGATTATGTTGAGGGCAAATCAAATGGTTTTGAGGCATTGGAAGATCTCCATAAAGAATTGCAAACATGTAACGAGAAAGAAAAAAAACGAGTACTAATGCATAAGATTCTGCACCCTGGCTCAGAAATACCTCGCGATAAACATATGGAGGACCAGAAGTTGGCAATGAAGTTGCGGGTAGAGAAGATTAAAAAAGAAACACAAAATTCTATTTTGGTCGAGCATCTGAAGTTTGATTTGAATGTTGCCCCTGAGCCAGAAGATGAGGAGGAATCTTGATCTCAGAATTCTCATGGAGTTTATAATTGGAGTTCTTAAAATTGAAGCGATGCTTAGAGAAGACTTTGCTAGTTGTCTTATTTTTTTGTTGTTTAATTTATTGTTCAGCCACTTTTGGGCTGGTCAGACGTTTTTCTTTTTTTTAACAATTTTAGTAATTTACATATATAAAATCGGCCCAACCGGGTCAAATTTCTATTAAAAAGAAAAGAAAAAAGAAGTCACTTGTTGTTAGTAATCAATTATCCATCTATATGAGGTTTTAGATTTAAAAATAAAAGGTTATGAATTTCTTATGTTATTAAGTTAGTTTTTTTCCATACACTCATTAATTTTCTTTTTTGTTTTCATCTTCAACAAGATTAGTGCATTTACATTTTACTTCTAGGCTAGCTCTCGGTGAGATGGTGGAATCTCTTTAATATGAATGTATTTTCGTTTGAAAATAGGAAAGTTAGAAGGGATGTATTGGAAGGGACAATAAAAAAACTCGACTTGAACAACGTGTCCCCAGAAAAATCTTTTTTTTGAGGATCCGACAACTTATGTAGGAACTTTCCAAATATCAATTGACACTATTGACATATTCAAGATTCCAAGAGAAGTTGGGTCTTATTTTTAACCTAATACACGTATGTATTGAACTAAAGTATCTAAATTTTTTTATCACAAGCACATACACAAAAAAGGTTCCTTTCGTGTATGATACAAAATAAATTTTACTGAAGTACATTAGCCTTAGAGAGTACTTTTCCAAATTCAACTTATTTCTTTTCTGGCTCCAATTTTGTGTAACCTCGATTACTAAACTAGCAATTTAGATATTAATTATTTGAATGTAAAACTACCCCTTCAAAATAAGTAATTCATGTATAATAATTTTAAAAATTATTACTGACGGTATAACAACCCATTCATTTTATGCGTTACAATATCCACATAACTAATATCTCCATTTAAAGGGTAAAAATGAGTAAATAAATCCTCTCTAATCCACCCCTCTAATATGTCCTATAATAAATTTGAGGTTTTCGTGCATAGAAGTTACTTACTTCTTCTGTCAGACAAATTCCAAATAGTTGACTCTTTTTTATATAGTATTGTTCCCCATCAACAATTGAGCACTAATAATTTTGATTTTTGATGAAAAATATACATACGTAATAACTACTATATATAACATCAGCTCTATAATAATCTAACAAAACATTATTTAGTGAAATGATTTCTATGGATTGTAATTGTGGTATTAGTTGGTATTTTCAGAAATAAAAAAATCCATTCCTAAAAGTTCACATGTTTCTATTCTACTAGATATATGTCGTCCGTGCGAGCAGAGGTCCTACATTATGTCCGTGTGTATGAAATTTTTTTGTTGGAATGTAAATTTGGAAGATCTGCAGGATATATATACACAAACATTGTTGCACTGTGTATGCATATATATTTACATATTTACTTAATTACATAAGCTGGTATTGTAAAAGGGCAAAATAGCAATAGGGAAACTTGTTGAACCATTTCTCCATTCCTTTAGGACTTTGATCGATCAGGGACTGAATTATACAAATTCTGGATCAATTAGGAAATCGAACAGAAAATTTGCAAAACTATAGTCACGGATTAAAAATAATCGAAACTATATAACTATATTACATAATATACTCTAGATCAGTGTTTTAAAAGGCGGGGGATGAGATGGGACGTTTTACTTAGCATAGGGCGAAGCCTCGAGACATGGGGTGTAAGCCTTATGAATTTTTAAATTTTTAATTTACAATATAATATAATAATATAACAACACAAAATTATAAAAATACATCAATAGTTTGAAATAATTACAAACATGATTAAGGAAACTCATAGAAAATAAAACTTATAACACGATTATACAAGTATAAATAATCTAATATCTTAACTTTCTAATAATAAAATAATCATTATTTACGTATAAAAATATATAATTATCATACTATACAATTTACCCCCTAAAAGAAAATAATCAATAAAATTTACTAGTATTATAATAAACGCATCACTCCATCATGAATAAACATAAAATTACTTTCAAATAGCTAAATAAAATATGAAGATTTTAAAACATGAAGACAATGATAAGTTAAAAAGTAAAATGTTGCTTTGTATTTTTAAAAGAAATGTTGCATAATATATAATCACCATTACACTGTTACCAAATAGTAAATGTGATACTATAACTTGTTAATTGAGTCAATCTTCTTCTTATTGGGAGTTGAGCGTGCTAAGGGAGTATAGTTGGGTGCTTAGGGCGTGTGTCTTACAGAACTAAGCCCCATACTTGAGTCTTCGAGCGTTTTGCTCCGCCCCAGGGCGAGCCCCAAGACGAGTCTTAACAGAGTCTTTTAAATCATGTTTGTCATTTTGGCGTAATTTTTCCTATTATAATTACTCCCTCCGTCTCAACTTAGATGAACATCTTATTAAAAATAGTTGTCTCATATTACTTGATCACTTACTAAATAGAGATAAAATTAATTAATTTTTTCTCATTTTATCCGTGCAATTACTATGACATTGGAAATTTGAACAATTACCAATATGATAGTTATTCCTATTCTTTATGTATTTTTTTTATAACTTACGTTTATGTATGTACATTGATATGAAAAAAGGGTAAATAGTAAAGTTAATTTATCAATTAATGATTTCATAATCACCATATAAAATAGAAAGTGACCATAATATGGGACGAATATGAGTAGTAAATAAGATAAAACGATTAGGCATGTAGTTACATATATTTAGGAAATTAACTCAAGGTAGAGAGAAATTTTTAATTTATATTTAGGAAAAATATAATGTGGATTTAGAACGGTGGGATTGTAAAATAAATTGGCAAGAAACAGATGAAAGTAATTAATTAGTCTAATCATAATTAGGGTTCTATTTTAATTAATTAAACATTAGCCACTAAATTAAACCTATGTCAGGTATCAAATAAACTATCCGTAAGTCACAATAGAAGTTAGTGTTATAAAAACAAATTTAAACGAAGATCTCTGAAATTATCATTATTATTTTTTTGCCTATGTTCATTAAAATATCTGTAATGAATCTATGTTTGGTGGACATGTAAAAAGAGACTTCCCTTGTAGTTAACATGTGAATAATAAAGCTTGATTTTTCTTTTGGCTGATAGAGACAATTCTAAGGTGTTTATTCATCTCTCTTCTCTTTTATTCTTTTTGGGGAATCTATATATTACGTAAATTTGAGAAGTTTGAATTATGATATCCTGCAGCAAATGGAATAATGGTATCAAATATATTTTTTCTAAAAACGGATGGACTCAATCGGTAAGGATTAAAACTAAATGAAAAATAATGTTCACAAACTAATGATCTCATTCATTTTCTTTAAATAATTTAGGTATAGATTATAATAGATAAATGTATCATTTAACTTGACTTCAGCTTGCATTCACGCCGTCTAACTTTGGGGATGTACAAGTAGGCACTTAAAATTATATAAAGTTGAACAAGTAGACATATGTGTCATATGTGATGCCCTACTTGGCCAATTTGCATTCTACGTAGTGTCATGTGCCTATTATGTCACGTAGAACGTGTGTCTACTTGTTTAATTTTATACAAGTTTAAGTGTCTACTTATGCACACCCAAAATGGAACAATATAAATACAAGTTGAAATCAAATTAAATAGCATATTTATATATTATAACTTAAATTTATTTTGTCAAAAAATAAACCGATAGATTTTCAAGGTACTCCCTTGATCATCATATTTTATTTTTTATTTAACATGAATGAGAACCACAAATATTAAATCATGAATCCTGTCTTTAACCAAGGGTGAGTACTCAAATTAGTTGTGACATGGACAATCAAGGTATCTAATCTTGTTCTCTTCTAAAATCTAAAAATTGTTATTAGTCATTCACTCAAGTTGAACACTTTATGTGGTCCATGTCAAAAGTGATATATTCAAAAAGTTTTATGTAGGGTGCTTAATACAATTAATTATAGATGGAATGGAGAACCTAGAGATGGTGATCAACTTGTCTATAAAGATTCTTCTACTATAAAATTTTATATAAATGTACATCTTACTCAGTTATTCCTTCCAATAATATCATTCTAATTTTTGTTTTCATTCTTAAATTGACCGCTGGCCTCTTTTCATTATTTTCAAAAAAAAAAATATGATTGCTTTATTTACTATTAAATAATATTGAAGAAATTTTGACCACCGAAATAAGAACTAGTTTTTTGTTGAATTAGCATAAATAAAAACGTAAAAAATGAAATAGAGATTTATCGTGAAAAACATCCTTGCTCAAGGAAAGAAAAACCACGACCTACAATTCATTTCACCAAACTTGACTAACCTCAAAGAGCAGCTTTAGATTACAACTCTATAATTAAGGGTCTAACTCTAAATACCTCACCTCAATAGTTTACTCAAATAAACTGTTCAACGATTAACTATGATCGAATACTCTACTCTCCAAGAAGTCAACCCCACTTATTTTTACAAAGCCTCACAAACTCGGTATCACACTTAGAACAATTATCACTAAACAAAGACTCAAATTATTACTTTAGTAATTTTTTTTATGATGAAGCAGTGCCACGTGACACCTCTTAACCCTTTTTAAATCCTCCCATGCAGATATGATGAACTAGAAACCCCTTATATTAATAGGGGTGGACGTTCAGTATTCTATTTGAAATTTTCAAATTTTAAATTCAATAATTTGATTGATAGTTAAACATAGATATTTTATACTCATCTCTACTTATGTATTATTGGAAGTAGAATATGTATCCTACGCCAAACACGAAAAATATGTAGGATGAGACGTTTTATCTCATTGCTTATGCAAAGATTGCTCTAAAAGTGAGAGAATAAGGACAATTTGTATAGTCCTTCAATTTTAGTCAAATTAAGAACTTTGTTTGAGCATTCTCATCCTTCCTTTTCTTGGAAAAGCATATCAAT